CCCACGCACACATGACTGCTGCAACCCCTTTGCAATGTCCGTGCGACACGACCCTGGCCCTCTGGCTTGCCGTCACTGCCGGCTGCCTGCCATCGCCCAGGGGTCCAGGCGAGTGAGTGTGGAGCTTCAGAACAGCGGCAGCTGAGTTTGTGCCCGAAAGTACAAGCGGCAACCTCTTTCCCTGAATGGCGAGGCAGATTTGCTCTGGTGCTCTTGCTGAAAAGAGGCGGCAGCCTCCAGCCTTCAGCATTCTGACCCTGGTTCAAACATTCCTGACAAATTATGAACCATTCACGAGTACAGGGCCTTGATTACTCATGGCTGGGTGATGCGTACAATGATCAGTGCTGGCGGCCGTGGGCAGGCGCCCAACCATCACCACCCCCCATGCGTGGCGCACACCCTTTGCGCGGACGCCGCCGTGCATGCGCGGGCCGGCCATGCCATGGCCAACGCGGGCGGGCGGCGCCCATGAGGGGACGTGTGGTGAGGGGAGCGGGTAGTGGCGGGGCACCCGCGCGTGCGGCTGGGACGGATCCCAATGGTTCGTCGGCGCAGCGTGCGACTGTGCGGGCAGCAACACAAGGCAGATTTGGGCCCTGCAGGGGTCAAGGCTTGGTGCGGGTCAAACCCATGTGCCATGCAATTGCAAGCCGACAGCAGCTACTGCACCACAGCCCCGTCTAAGGGGCTGCAACCGGCAGGGCGAATTGGAAAGGACGGGGCCTGCTTGAGACGTGCCAAGTCGAGCCCAGCCGGAGGCTCTGCTAGCACGCCGCACGCGGCCCCGCGGCCCCCCGGCGCCCGGCGAGGCGGCCGCCTAGGCAGAGAGCGCCTGCTTGGCGCCGGCCTGGGTGGTGGCCCTGGCGGCGGCCTCCTGGGCCTGGCGGCGGCGCAGCACGCCGAGGGCGACGTGGGCGGCCTTCTGGCCCGACACAAACATGGCGCCAAAGGTGGGGCCCATGCGGGGGGAGCCGTCGATCTCCGACAGCTCCATGCCTTGGGGGGGGGTGGGGAGGGTGTTTGTAACGAGGGGTCAGGGTTTTAAGTCTCATCCAGGGGGATGTGTGGTCGGCACAGATCGCACACATACACATGCAGGCAGGTACCCGTCTGCACCGTAGGCTCATGGGGCGAGCAGCGCGGTCAGCAAGGGGGCGCGTGACGTCATCGCGCGTCACTCACCGGCGAGCACCATGCCGGGCACCACCTCGCGGGTGTTGGCGACGATGCGGTCCTCGGCCGCGTTCATGTCCAGGGCCGCCATGCCGGGGATCTCGTCGACCTGATGACGTCATCGAGCGATGGGGGTCGGGGGTGGAGGTGGGGTGAAGATGTGCGATGGCAGCATGGTGGTGCGGCGACGCAGGAGGGGTCTGCACTAGGAGCGCATCAGGACACCAGTCGACCCCGTGAGGATAGGGTGAGGGGCATGCAATGCCATGCGATTGGCCTGCGCGACCATGTGCGAACACGGGAAAAAAACGAAACCAAGCAGCCGCGCCCCGTCATGCCGCGCACCATGCCAAGCTTGGCCAGGCGCTTGACGGAGTGCGCGCCCATGGGGCCGTCGTGGCCGCAGGTCGACACCACGACCTTGGCCTCCAGGACTGCGGGGGGAAAGTGAGGGGGGCATCGGCAGCGGGAGGAAGTCAAGAAAAGATGATGACAGGGTGGAAGCTTCCCTGCTCCTCGGCGAGTGAGGACGGCGGCCGGGCCCAGATAACATCCGCTTCAATGTTGAATGCTCCGCGCCATCACAAACAAGCCCGGGTAACCGTGCAGCCCGCCGTCAGGACATGAAATTGTAAAAGGGGGGCCCACCGTTGGGGTCCATGCAGGACTGGGTGTCGTGGTGGAGGGTCACCAGGGTCCAGTTGGTGACGACGCCCCCGATGCGGCGGCCACTGACGGCGTCGTCGCGCACGATGAGGTCCTCAACGGCAGTGGCGTTGAACAGCTTCACGTTGGGCGCCTGCAGGACCTGTTTTTTGTTGAGGGTCGGGGTCGGGGGCGAGGCGCAAGGTGATTCGAGGTGGTTGCGTTGGCGATCAGGGCAGACGGTTCACTGTCGCACGGCTCCCAAAGACGCGGGGCCGGCATTTTGTTTCGGCGATGCTTTGTTTCGAGGGTTTCGGGTGGAGTCTGAATTGGACGACTGCGGCTGAGGGAGGGCTGGCCCCTCGCGCCCGCACCTTGGAGAGCAGGGTGGCGGTCATGAGGGCGGCGTGCCTCACGACAACGTAGTCGCCCTCGTCCTCGTAGGGCACGGCCAGCTCGTCAAGGATGGCCTGGCCGGAGATCGAGGGAGGTGGCGCGGGATGAGGGTGCGTGGGATCACGGTTGTGGGAGGACAGGGGACACGAGGGGTCAACGGGCGGCACGAGGGGTGCATGAGCCGAGGGCCGAGGTGATACTGACTAGTATGAGCAAGGAAGGGAGGTCGCCCCACCTGGCCGGGCTTGCGGATGACCATGGCGCTGAACAGCTGGCCGCCCAGCCACGCGCCGCCGCCGGGGGACACGTTCTGCTCGATGATAGCGATCCTGGCGTCGGGGGCGAGCTTGGACAGCTCGTAGGCGCACGCCAGGCCCGCGGAGCCGGCGCCGGCGATGATGACCTGACGGTTGAGGGGGAGGTGTGGAGGGTTTAGGATGTTTGCTGTTCGTGGAACGATACGGGGAAGACGAAAGGGGTGGGGGCAAGCAGGGGGCGGGTGGAGGAGCGCAGCAGCCCCGGGGCTCGCCCCAGGGCCGACGAACAAGACGGCGACGAGCGGGCTGCAAGCAAGGGGTTGGTGTAATGACGTCACTCACGTCGGCCTCGGCGTAGCTGTCCAGGTCCTTGAAGTAGCGGCTGGTCATGGCGCGAGACACCTGGGGGTGGGTGGGGGCGCAAGGGGTGGGTGTCGAATTTTGGAGGCCACGCCAGCGAGATGAGGGTCCGATGGAGCTGGTCTCAGCCGCGCAGAGAGACACTTGTCATTGACATTGCCGAAGACATCAATGACAAAGACCCCCCAGGGAAGGCAGAGAACACTGCCACACGGGCAGCCCACAAGGCCCAGCAACAATTCCCAGGCCCCCCCATAGATCGGCCAGGCAGAGCTGCTTTATGGCAGCACGGTTCCATGCAAAACCTTGGCCTAAAACGGCAACGAAAACGCCATGACACAGCCCACACAGATCGTCACGCATAGGACAAAGCCAACCCCAGGGGTCGGCGGCACACCCCTCACCGTTGCCTCGCGGATGGGGGCGAAGCGGTAGTCATCGAACGGCGTCGACACCGGCGCCGTGGCGTTGGCGGGGGCGTCGGACGCACCGCCCGCGCGGTACATGGGCGCGTCGCGGTTGATGGCCGCGGCCCGCACGGCGGCGCGCTTGGGGCGCGCGGCGGCGGCGAGGCCAGCGGCGGGGCGGGCGGAGAGGGCAAAGGCCATGGTTGCGGCGGGTGGGGTCGTCCGGGGGCGGGGCTGGGA